CCCTACTTATTAAATATTCATGTAAATACAGTCAATGCAACAGATTATTTCGTTTTCATAATCTAAGCAGTAATGTTACAAGAAATACTCCTGATTTTTATAAATAACATACTGAAGCATTAATTACTTAGGATTAATTTGAAGCGTGTTATCCTATTTAATTATTCTCATATCTAGTGTGATTATCAATTCTTGTAACCATTTGGAACTGGTATCACCTAGTTTTACGCCGACAATGAATCCAACTGCTGCTAAATTGAGATGTTTATACCGAATAGTTATTAAATAGTTCTTGTTATAAACGTATGTATGCCGTCGCCAATTGTTATAAACGTAGAGAGAGAGAGGATGCTGGTTATAACTTTAGGGGTTTCTGGTTATAAAAGTCCTTTTACTTCTTACATGTATGTGGGACGTTAATTTATCTTAGACGAATATCTACACTAGATTCCCACCCAGTGTCTATTCTACAGGACTTCAACACAACTCAGATCAAGAACACAATATTAGCCTGACTATAACGTCAATATATTTCACACCAAAATCCGACACATGGAACAGTCAATAAGTTATACATAATAAGGATAGGGAAATATATATATAACACATAACACCTGTCATCCCCTCTAATGTCTGACTCATCGAAACAACCAATCATTGACATTCTCGCCCACACATCACCTCCCTCGCGAAGTTTGATCGTATGATTTCACTTTAGGGTCTATTTGAAAAAATTTCGTTTGTTTCCGTTTCCTGAATGACCTTCGTCTAACTTCTGATTCTAGATCATTTTTTCTCATTTCAACTTGTGGTGGTGGTGGAATATCAAACGTATCACATAATACTTCCATTGGTAATGGTTTGAGTTTAGATGACTCATAAATACATTTTCTATCTCGCAGTTGATTTACATGTCTAATAATTAGTGTATTTTCGACCATCACTTCATATAATACCGTACCACGTCGTTTTTTTATAAACCCAAATATCCATTTTGGCTTGCCAGGCCGGAAATCCCGTGCATAGACTGAGTCACCTACTTTGAATTCTCGAATTTTCAGGCAATTCCCTTTCTTATTTTTTTGTAGTCCACTGATTCTGTCTTTCGGGTTCAAAACATCAAAAAATGTTCTAATCGGTCGGCCAAACATTATTTCGGCTGGAGATTTCCCATCTTGACAGTTTGGACTTGGCGTAATTCTATAGGAAATGAGAAATTGTTGCAGAGCCTCTTCTACGTTGCCTTCTCCTCCCATCTTTAAGAGAGCTCGTTTAAGAATATCAACAAATTTCTCTGCCTGCCCGTTCGACTTAGGGTGATACGGTGGAGTTCTAACGTGCTCGATTCCATTCTGTTTACAGAACTCCGCAAACTCTAACGACGTGAACTGCGTCCCGTTATCTGAAACCAAAACATTAGGTGTACCAAACCTACCAAATAATTGTCTCAGATGTAGCAGTGTTTCAGACGTAGATGGTCTTCGTACCACATAAATTTCAGGCCACTTTGAGTATGAATCAACCACCACCAAAAAATATTGTCCACTTATTGGTCCAGCATAATCAACATGTAGTCGGATCCAAGGTTTTTTCGTTTCTGGCCATGACTGGGATTCTGCTTTCGGCACATTCAACGGTAAATCCCACAAACCAAATTTATCAATCCAATCAATACCTAATAGATTGGTATGACAGTTCCCGGATACGTAACATTTCCCGGTCATAGTCTTTTCACCAAACGTGAGAGGTAGCTGTATTACTCCAAGAAGAGTAATATTAGTTCCTGACGCACTCTTAGCATTATGATATGTAGGTTGATATCGGGGTCGACCAATTTTAATCCAAGTTTCTCTAGAAATTAATGTTATATCAGACCCAGTATCGACTTGTAGTTTGACCGGTTTGCCATCGAAAAAGATGGTTACATACTTCCTTTTAGAGGAGAAATGCTCACTTTTTGTAGCCAGAACAACATTTGAGTTATGCGGCATTACTTTTGAAGTATGTATCTTATTTCCTTTACGGGACTTATGCTGACGGTCAGAAACCTTCGGCCTACTTTTACAACATACTTGAGCATGACCATATTTACCACATTGAAAGCATACTCGTTTTTTAAAATAGCAAACATTGGCAGAATGAAACTTACCACATCGCCAACATGACATTTTGTGTTTCACTTGATTCGGGATTTTCTGGGAGTTCGAATCTTTATTTTCATTTAAAGATTTACATAAAGCATTAATTCCCACGTGTTCACTGTTCCTTTCTACGAGATTCGTGTCATGCTTCAAATTAACCATTCTTTGACACTCTTCAGATACTGATTGTAGACTGATATTAGGATCTTGTTCGATTCTCATTAGAATCCGTGCTCTAATATCTGCATCTACTGAAGATTGTAATCCACATACAAAAATAAGGCACTTGAATTGATCTGAGGACATTTCCTGTAATCGGAACCGCTCACATTCCCGGTTCACGATACTTGCATACGTTACGTAATCGTCCTGTACTTTCTTTACAAGTTGAAGACACTGGTATCTAGTGTGAAAAATTGATGACCGTTCACCAAATATACGAGTCAGGCATTCAACTGTTTCTTTGAACGTTATGTCGGATGGCTTCTTTGGGAGGATAAAATTACAGAATTTTTCATGTTCGGACACTCCGAGCTTTCGTAATAATAATCTCAATTTCGAACTTTCGTCCCACTCTTTACATTCATTAATAAATAAGTCCTCATGGCGTCTAAACCATGCCTCAAAAGTAACTCCACTTTCTGGATCAAATCTAAATTCAGTTATTGAATTTGCAATAGAATCCGGAGTCATAGTGGAATTAGACACATCAGTTCTTGAGGATATCGACATATTTTTGACTAATAATTCGATAAGAGTATTTTGCTGTTGCAATAAGGTTTTCAGATCATCCATTTTCTTGATACAAAATTCACTTTAACTGAATACGTAAGCGTAGATCCGTTTTAATCACCGTCGCCAATGTTATAAACGTATGTATGCCGTCGCCAATTGTTATAAACGTAGAGAGAGAGAGGATGCTGGTTATAACTTTAGGGGTTTCTGGTTATAACAGTCCTTTTACTTCTTACACGTATGTGGGACGTTAATTTATCTTAGACGAATATCTACACTAGATTCCCACCCAGTGTCTATTCTACAGGACTTCAACACAACTCAGATCAAGAACACAATATTAGCCTGACTATAACGTCAATATATTTCACACCAAAATCCGACACATGGAACAGTCAATAAGTTATACATAATAAGGATAGGGAAATATATATATAACACATAACACCTGTCATCCCCTCTAATGTCTGACTCATCGAAACAACCAATCATTGACATTCTCGCCCACACATCAGTTCTCAATGATATAACCCTTCTGATCAATATGAAGTGTATTAGGTTTCATTATATCCACTGGGTATCAAACAGGGTATCCCACGACCGAACTTTACTTGACTCAAAGGACTCAAGAGTACTTCGGAAATTCTATTGAGAAGCCATAACCTTAGTTGAAAATCAATTAGATAGTAAAACAGCTACTCACCTATGATATTAAACGAGGATTGTCCTTAATTGTACGTTAAGAAGTGTTAAGACTGAAATTCGAAAAGTTGGATGACTGGTAGAGTTAATATAGTAAGGTCTGAAGGCTAACGCTTTTATCTGTTGTATAGCTACAGGTTTACAGAGACGAAAAATCAGGACTTAAGAATAAATAACTATTCAGTTATAGTCGGGTCTTCAGCAGTTATTTGGTCATGTAATGATTTCCATAGCTAAATTTAACTGGATATTATTGGCTGGGTTTCGCTGAGACTAGATTAATCTGCAGGTGATATTCTTATTTATTTATTATTTTTTTATTATTAATGGCTTTATTCAATATTATAATCTGGTACAATATAGAATTCTCAGTACGGATCGATTTGCTCGGGATACCACTGAAAATCAGTTATGGGAGTTTTGATTGACCTCTCGCTGAACCGAGATTCTTACATTTATTGGATACTGAATTAGAAATCATCATCATCATCAGTTCCTTCAAGAATTCAGATTTTCCTCCCCTACTGATGAATACCATCCAGCACAAAACATATACTCAGCATTACCTGTTGACTATTTTCAACAACTTAACATGAAACAATCCATGTGATATCGAGTTACCAATGGACACATCGTAATTTGAACCATGGAATTTATAACATTAAAAAAAAACTAGACACACATGACATTGGTTAGTACTCAGTGATTAATTAACATGAAATAATCATCGTGTTTCATCAATTATTCCGATAAATCATAGGAGAAATCTTTCCGTTAACTTCTGATTGTTTCTCTGATCTAGTAATCTCAACAGTTTAAGTTTAATTCTAACTCTTTTAGTAAGAGTTAGTCTTGTAAATTTTCTTTTTTACAGTATAACTATATGATCTGAAATATTGGTTCATCGGTTTAAATGTTTTTATAACTTTATTTTGTTAGTTAATGTGATTCAGTTCATAAATACACACAGTTTAAGTACAAAATAATAACGGATGATAAAATTGGTTAGTAATACTTTAGTACATGGGAAAAAATGTATTTAATTTGTTTTTGGGAAAAAGAGCCTTAATTATTCAGCACACGAACCTTATCCCTAACATATATATATAATGGACATTATATCGTTCAGAGTTTTTAAGCAATGTGTTTATATTAATTTACTTCAATGTTTAATGTATAAACTTTTCTGATCAAGTATAATACACTAGATACTGTCTAATAACTGGCCAGTATTTAATTGTATGTCATCAAATAAGGTTCTATTAGCACAGTAAATGTACTTTGGCAAAAATGTGATTATATTGCACATACAATACTGTATAATATATGTTTAATGTGAGGGTTTAACAAACGAAATATACACAGTAGTATAATATTAACTATCCAATTAAATCAATTTGTGAAATTTGTGTTCCCTTTGAATAATTTTAATTGGTTATTAAATATGAATATCTTGAATATTCCAATCAAAATTATTGAACATTGCACAAATTCTAAGGCATTAGATTATTAACCTCATTTAAACAAATCATCACATCAATATTCTTACGAGTAGTTTACACTTTTCCTACCCCTTTTATTTTATTCTGTTGGTTAAGAAATATTTCATATATACAGAGGGGAATTAATTAAAGTTGTGACTGTATGCACATATATGGATTATGTGTGCTTATTCGCAATGACTATTATTTTTGATAGTAATAATAAACCGTGATTACAACTGAACACATCATATTATGTACACACTCTATGGTCTCATAGGGAATACAGAAGTAGTTGAAATCACTCAAATACTATAGAAAAGATCTTTTTCAGGAAACTTAATTCATTTCATAATGATAAGATATGGAATAATCACTGTAGTAGTACTGGTTATTGACTAATAATAAATAAATCATCATCATATTCTCATTGTTAATAATTTTTTTAAACATGTCTGGAGACTATTTTTCAAGAACACCAGCTTTATTATACTCCTATGTTGATTCCGATTATAAAACATTTCAATTTAAAGTTGATCAGATCAATGATTCAATAGCTCCGATGACAACATTTAGCTCAAATAATCATCATCATAATAATTACACAAATCATTATGATCATGATTTCAATGATGTATCAATGAAGTATGGAACACAATCTATTCTTCAGGTACTTCCGAATAATTCTCGACATAATAATCATTATCATCATCAAATAGAACAACAACATCATCGTAATCAACAGGATTGTTTGAATAATTATTGTTCATCTACAACAACACATTTGACAGTATTAAAATTAACTGGTACAACTACTACTGCTAATACAACAATTACATCGACAAATAATGTTAAATGTTATAATATTCATGAATCTGATGATAGTCATTTAAATAATTCAAATTTAAGGCAAATGAATCTTAGTAAACAATCGAATGTGATTACATCATCTCATTATGATAATTCATCAAATGGTAATAATCATTTAACAAATGAATTATCCACTGAGAATTGGTGTAAGCATTCTCCACAAACATTAATGAATTTGTCAGAAAATGATCAATGGTTAGTGACATCCACTCCTAGATCACCTTTAACAAGTGAAAATTATGTTAATGATGTAGTTTCTATTAATCTCAGTACTAAAATTGATAAAACAATTACTACTGATGTACAGATTAGTACAATATCGACAACAAATCCTACCCTCAATTGTATAACATCTACAAACAATAAGAATACATTAAAATTGTATTCAGAATCTAGAACAAATCAAAAATTATGCCTAACAGATAGTAATATCGATTGTTATGGTACAAATGTAAATGGGACTACTACAGATGTAGATACTAAATGTTTTTTGCCGCCACCTAATCATATCATATCATCATCATGTATTATAAATGATCATTCAATAAAACTTAATAGTCTACCATTATCAATATCATCTTCATTATCGTCATCATCATCGTCACCACCACCACCACCATCATCATCATCATCACCATTATCGTCCTATGACTGTACATTAACAGATTCTAAAATACTGCCTAATAATTTATGGTCTACAACACCTAATTTACTTAATAAACAATTAGGGAATAATAGTAGTAATACATTTCCTACAATTCATGAATCATATCCTATTCAACCTTTAATGACATCTTATTTAAATAATTCTTTAAATATTGATTATCATCATAATCTTCATCACCATCATTGTCAAGATCAGCAACATTCAACGTTCAATAATAATGATAATAATAATAATAGCAAAATATCAAATTATATGCCAGATATTGACTCTCGTCCTTATCATCATCTTCATAACATTAGTAGTCCTGAAGAGTCGTCTAGTGAAGCATGTCCAACTCTATCCAATGAAACAATGAATTATGATACTGAACTAAACAGTTATGAATCACTTCATTCAATCCAATCATCTTGTATATCAAATAATCAATGTATAAATAACGTTAACCAATGTAATAATAATGAACGAAATCATCAAGTCGATGATTGTTCAACAATTTTAGGTTCGGTAAACTTTACCTATTTGAATTCTGTGCCAATAAACCCAGTTTTACCAACAATGACTACATTTACAACGACAATGACAACAACGACACTTACTACCACAAAACCAGGAGTATCATTGTCGTCAGTAGTAACATCAAAATGTATTTCAAATGGTTTCATTAATAAACATGAATCAGATACAATGAAATCGTGTACTCATGAGAATAATCCCACAGTGTCGCCATCTATGTTGTCATATAATACTATGAATATACCATTTCATAAAATGTTAATGAAAGGCACCAGTGATAGTCATGAACTAAATGATCAAAATGACAACATTGGTAATGAAGATGATATTGATGAGGATGAGGACGAAATAGAAGATGTGGAAGATGGTGATGTAAATTTGGAACATAATCATTCAACTGACTTATCCGATTGTGAAAATGATGATGATAATGATCGCAACGATGATGTAGAAGGTGCAAGTGTTACAAAACAAAGAGATCGAAATACAATTAACAATACGAAATCTAAATTAAAGGATGAATTAAATAAAGATATGGATAATCGAAAAAAGAACATTGGAGGTAAGCTGTTTGTCAAATTGTTTAAGTCAATGGTTGGAAACACAGTCTTATAAAGCTAAAATATGATATGTCTGATGGCAACTTGAACTTAGATTTCAAATAAATATCTTAATTAAATTGTGGCTAGTCTTAGAATCTAAAACATTCATCCATTAACATTTGTAACTCTTTAAATGTATGGTCTCTAACCTACTATGCGTTATTTACTATTGAGACAAGCTAGCCGTTGATCAAGTATATGTTTTAATAGAAAACCTCTCAAATTCAGTCCCTAATATAAACTGAATTCTACAGTTGATCACTTTGTTAAAGTTTAATTGTAATCTGATCTCATTTCCATGAAATCTGTGTTTTATTATTCATTAAGAAAAAAAGATTAAGGGAAACTCAAAAGTTATGTATGTTAATTGTAACTAAAAAAAACAGAACACTCACTTTTTGGATTACTTTTAATATAATCATATATTCATTCACTGTAATTATCATCACAATGCATGCATCTCAGTAATTATTGTTTATTTTAACATACAAGAAATTACTACATTCTTCACGAAACCTCTTTATAATAATCATCATGTGCTCACTAGTGACTGGCTTCAAGATGAGTTTCTTGGAGTTCTAGTGAGACGCTGTGACCAGTGAAGTTCAACCGTGTCTGTTATAGAGGCAGTTACTCACTGAAGACAGTGGTGGATCGTCACGTAATATCGCGGAATCCGGCTAAGTGGTCTAGAGAATAAGTGTTCGAACGCGAGATCGATGGTGTTGGGTTTGAACCCCATGAGGCGGGATCGTGGATGCACACTGTTGAGCCCCATACTAGGAGGAAATGGCTGCCCAGTGCATCCAGGTTTTCCATGGGGGTTTAGCTTTAGTCGACCGATGAATTCATATATTAAACAAGAAATATTTAATAGTTAACTGTTTTTTTTATAGAATACATAATCGGTTTAAAAATATAACTTGGTATTACTGATGTATTAGCTTAAATTTACAAAGATTGAGAATAAAAGTTCACGTAAAATAGACGCCATTGATCATCGAACATTAACATTGCATTATATAATCACAATAACTATTCTATGAAGATTAGTTCTATTAACTTGGATTTGGATATTCATTTAACTGTGAATTTCTTAACCATGATGATGAATTCAAAAATAACGTAAAAAATCTTTTAAAAAAGTTTGTTTGAATAGATTATGAATACAGTGTTTGTTTAAATATTATTTCATTTTTCGATAGTGTAAAAAGAAATCTAATATTATTAGAATTACGATATATATATATATATATCAGCGCTATACATTTCGAACAATCTGATCACACATATACTTGAATTTACGCTGCTAATATTAGCTTATTATCCAGAGTGATGGAATTTAAAATTGTTTCCACATTATAAGCAAAGATTGATAGTGGTTAGCGGTGGGATCCAGGACGTGCGTTTCGTACTATTTGGGACTCGTCAGCTGGATGTATCTGCATCTCAGAGTTGATGTTCACTATGGGACTCGAGCCCAGTAACCTTTCGCTTCAAACGCCATCGCGTTATCCGCTCAGCTACTGAGTCCTGATAGCCACATGCTTGTGCAACATATGCGAAAAATATCCTTGGAAAGTGTCACAAAATATCGTAATAAAAGAAAAACGAAACAATGACGTTTAAAATCCTTTCAGGTGGGAAACAGAAATTAGAAGTAATAATGGATGTTTTTAGTTTGAAGATGAGAAAATCACATTTCCGCGATTCAATTATGATAATAAGTTCACCAAGAAATTTCTAGGCATCTAGTATTCGCAACAAACCCCTCGGAGAACAGTTGACCATTAGAACTACTAGGTCGTCATAAAGTGATACAGTTCCTACTTTAATTAATTTTCAACACTATATGACGACTATTTTATTTGATTGCTGACAACTCTCACATTTCATGAGTCATAACAACTTACTAGAGCCTCAGGAAGATTTTGAAGTAGGTCAATCTATGACGAATACTATCAACAAATTAAACCAATTTCCATAAAATCTTACCAAATAAACAATGATAATAATTGTTTACACCTTGTAATAATACTATCATAACAAGGGGAAATCATTGTCCAATATATGTTCTATAAGCTATCCAAATGACTCATATATATAAGGAAAACATCATAAATAGAATTACTATTAAATAGATAATATTATAACTTCAGTTAAGGAAACTAGAAAATATATCACATCTCCCTAACTGTGAGTTATCCGATGGTTGAAACATTATTATTTTTAACGTCCAAATTGCTATAGGCCCTTTCTTGTTATATATAGACACCTTGGTGATTTAAACTAATAATTGATTTAAATGGATTAAGGGGGTGTTTTGAATGATAATTTCCTTCTTCGCCCTTTTTTATTCAGTCTTATATTTTTGATGATGTAGCAGTTGAGTGCTATTGATGCTGTATTTAATTTGTTATTTTACACATTAAATAAGGTAATGAGTCTAGTCTGAATATATATTAAGAAAAACCGCTTTATCTAAATTGCTTTTTTCGTTATTCAAATATTGAATACAGAATACTCAATTTATTCATTAATTTATCAAGCTGTTTTTTAAATAAGTTGATTTTAGCATATGAAATATAAATTATGTTGTTAGATGGTCCTCGTTACGAACTGAACACATTAAGGGTACGAGTGAAAACCTGGGTACTCATTTATAATGATTACTGAACTTGAACGAATCAGTTGTTTCAAAAGGCAGAAACATTGACAGCGATCCTTGACGAATACCACGTACAAATTAAGTGAATCTTTACAGAGGTTCCATCACTAAAACTATAAATTGTATTTCTTAATGTCGAAATAATTAGGACAAATAGGCTGGGAACTTTACTCAGTACTTCGATTTAAATTTCAGCAAAGGAAATATTCGAAATCATCAAGTAATGTAGCTCATTAATTTCATATGAGTGATAAAATGTTCATTGGACAGTCTTTAAGTATAAAAATATCTTGACTAACGTGTCATTTAATAAGTTTTCTGACTAAATATTTACCAAACTTATGGAGGAAATACTAAAATGGTTTCATTTTTAATTAATAATTCATTGGTTACCAAACTAATTATACAAAGTTACTAGAAAAGCGTGATGAACATAAGAATAAAGCGATCCTTGCCAGTGGTAATTCGATTCCTCAATGAAGCACTGGGAGAAGCATGAGATTCGGCTATTAATATCACTTTGTAGTAAATGTTTATGGATAAATTTAAATGAAATCACATTGGACGGATTAAATAAAGATGAATGAGTACATAGCTGAGATCCTTATTTAGAGGTTAAAATTTCAATAAGCAAAAATAGACTACAATCCAGTCTGTTCATAAGATTTATATAGAAAGCCCGCTTAATAAAGTAAAGATTATTATTCATTTTTTTATTCAGATGACAACCAAACACAAACATTCAGTAACAAAAGTTGGGACTTATATAACATTTGAACATCGAACAATTATCTCCATCATCACTAAATCAAATTATGTTGTAACATAAATTTTTTGTCATTTTCAGTAATACATACAGATAGTAATACTGAAAGATAATTTTCCTCATGGATTAATTTCACCTTGTAAACTAATGAAAAATTACGAAGAACTGAACAGTTATTCCTTTATAACTTTGGAATCTTTAGCAGTACATACTTATGATTGTTAAAAATTCATGATTGCGTTATCTTAAGGTAAATTTCAAAACATCAGAGCTGATACATAATAGCTTTTGAGTACTTACTAGTTTTTGAAAGTTATCTAAATGATATAAATTATATATGAAAGTTTTCTTTTTACTGAACTAATATTTATAGTTTTCAACTAAAATTGTACTTCTCCTTATACTTTACTCGTAGATGGATTATAACTTGATTTTTTAAGAGATTACTGAAATAAGAAAAAAAAAGTAATATACACCATATCACATTCTACGATATGAACATATTTGACATTAAAAATAACTAATATTCACATAAGAAATAAAATAAGATCTAGATATGATTGTTTATTATATAATAATTTTCAATCTTTGATTATTGATCAAAAGATTTTATTAAAAAAATTGAATTGTTTTATGAAATTCCAGGATAAATGTTCAACATATATTATTTTTTAATCGAAAGGGGGTTTAGTTTAGTAATTTTACATAGTTGAGATCATGAATCAGTTGAAGCTAGACCACCATAGAAAACATGGAAGCACTGAACAGCCATGGATGTGCACTGCTGAGTAGTCCCACAATAGGACGAAACGGCCGTTCAGTGCTTCCAGGTTTTCCATGGTGGTCTAGCTTCAACTGACTCATGATCTCAACTTTATATATTTTTTCTTACCCTTTGATTATTGCATAATCTTATCCGATAATAAAAGTCTCGAATCAATTTTTGATACAACCTTTTCTATCTTTCTATAAACATATATTTTCTATCTAAATATTAATACAAATGTACAGATTAAGCAAATGATTTCGTCGAAAAAGAGAATCTTCTTCAGTGGATTTTTTTTCATTTTTAAATTTTGATAATTGAAACTTTTATGAATATAATTTCATCTTAAAAAGTCAGCATTTGTTTAGATATTGAGTTCAATTATTCAACTTTTAACTTGTAGAGAATATCAGAATTGAAATGCCATCAATAATAATATAACTTTTTAATAGTTCCGATAATGAGTCAGTTGAAGCTAAACCACCATGGAAAACCTGGAAGCACTGGACGGCTGTTTCATCTTAGTGTGGGACTCCTCAACAATGCGCATCCATAGATCTTGTTAGTATTTTGATGTAGTAATCATACCAATTAATTTGTTATCATGATTATTTGATTTTTCATTAATATTTTAAATACGATGCAAAATGATTCATTGTATGTATGAAAGTCACATCCATCAAGGTAATATCATCGGAGTATTATTAAAAAATGTAGGGGACACTTATTCTGGATTAGGAATTTTGAATAATACTTAATT